GTCTTCCCTTACTTGTGACTTGGGGAATCTTTTGTTGTCGACACCAACAACCCTCAATAGGTTCACGAGCGTCATAGTAATTTTAGCCAGAAGTTTATTGTGGAAATGGACTCGCTAGCGTCGACCTCATTCTCTCTTTACTCTCCCATGCAGCAGTCCACTGTCTGAATCTGTCTGTCTGTCTGTAACATTATGTAGAGCCCCATACTGCCGGACCAATGAACCGCTTAAATGCAAATATTACAGCAGTTCGTGGGTATATGATTACTATGAATTCTCATCTTTATCTTCATCTTTCCCTCCATCTAACAATAAGCACCTACCGTATCATATGCAGGGAAAATCTAACATGTCGGGCGTATGGAACTACTGGCATGTACCTAAGCCTCCTATAGTCCTTGTTTTGTTTTTTTTTTCGCCCAGCGCGTAGTCGAATTCTTGGTTTTCATCTAGCTTTTAGCACCGACGTCTGGCAGCGGACTACTTCATTGGTCGTCCGTTTTCTGTACGCACATACCTACGTAGACTTTCTTGTAATTAACAATGCTGTTGAACGACCGTCTGAAATAAGAAAAATATCTTTCTTGCTGTTGGACTGTTTTCATCCGTCGATTTTTATGCCAAGAACATCGCTAGTCGTCACACAGACATGTGAGCCTAATCTTCTTAATAACTACTTAAGTTACGCAAAGTTATAGGTAATTCCCTATCACACGTTGTCTGCCGTTGTAGGATGGGATTAGTTTTGGCTTAGAGGAGTGTTTGGCAGAGGTTAGGTTAGAAATGCCAGAATTATAATTAGGGATATGAGAGTTAGAGTCTAGGTTGGTGTAAGGGCCGGGGCTATGTGAAGAGCTAAGGTAAGGACACGGGAATAGGTACCCCTCCTGTAGTACGGAGGGTGGTAATCCAAAGTGTGTTTGTCTTCTCACTTTTTAAGACAGCCGTTAGAAAAAAGAGCCTGAATAAAAGATGTTGTTTCCTCAATACTTTTCCTAACGCTGCTATACCGCATGCACCGTGCAGTTTAAGTATGAGTGCCTCAATTTAAACAGCGACGCAGGAGGAAAGAATGCAATATATTGATGTTTTTCCTTACTGTGAAATAAAGTGAGCCGACATATACCTGTATTTCTTATTATAAATAAAATGATTTTAGCTTTTAGCCGGCCAATTCATTCACCGTTGAAGCGTACCACATAGTTTGAGGTCAGGTCAGTGTATTTTTGGGCATATGAACTTTGTTTCTGACTTTACGTAAAATAGCAAAGATCTCGTGGGTAATAAAAAGGCTTACAATAATGTGGCGGCTGCTCAGAAGGTTGTTACACTTGCTAGTACCTAAAGAAGGCCGTTGCCATTGCATTGTCTACCAGGGCCAAGTCATAAGACTCGATGGTAACCGGCGTGCCTACAAGCATAAACGTTATTGGCCGATTTTTAGTCATCATGAAGGCGACAAAAAACAGCATCATTTCAAAATCCATTGGAAGGCCAAAGAATATGGTGCCATAGGGTTTGGGTGTTTCATCCCACTGGAAGTTGAGAGCAGCAATATGAAAATTTGGCGCCTTCCTAATGACACGTCGCGTAATTAGACGCCCCTGTCTCTCTAATATGAAAAGGCGCTGCCAGCTGTGTAAACCCTTAACATTCTTTTTACGTTCTCCTATGTAAACGTGCTGGAATCCGCACGTCTTTGGTCCACCGGGGTATTGTAGGAGGTCGGCAGCTGTTTGAGTGAACCACACGTGTGATAGACAGTCGATGAAGTTGTCAACATTTGTGATGGCCTTGTCAACGCTGGCTAGGAAGCCGTGTACAACCTTGAAGATGGGTGTCGCACGTAGGGTTTGCAGCAATCGTGAGCTCAAACGGCTGTGTTCAATAGTCTCCCAGTTCGTTAGGACATCGTGCGCAATAGCATCCAATGAAGAAGGGAAAACCATTTCGGGCGTGATTCTGGGTGGAAAAAGAGCACGAATATTGCCATCGTCTTGACCCAACCTCCAATTGACGTACTCCAGTTGACTGTTAATTGGTTGGTGCTGAAGTTGGTCAGCATAAAAACGCGAGAACATGATCGAAACCCGGTCTGACAGAGAAAAGTCTATAACTCGCGGAACATACACGGAGGTCCGTCGAACATTGCTTGTATTTGCGGCCTAAAATGTACAAAGACGGGCGAATGACGCTGGCTGAAGCATCAATGGCGGTACAAACTTTTTTGAAAGGCAAAATCGTTTAGACGTACCGAAAGCGTGTTAATACATATCTGTACGGATATCACTTCAAATTCCCTTTTTATTTTTTTGTCAAGGCGACTGGGCTGTCAAAAAGAAATTCGTTTTTTTTTCACTTCCGCAGTCATTCGTACCCACACACAACGATGACTGAGTAGTTGAACTTATTTGGATATTTTCCTGAAATCAGATTCATCTAGTCATCTGGGACTAAAACCAATCCATCTATTTTAACTCTAAGACAGAACTTGTCATTTCTGATTTGCTTTGAACTCCGGACCAAGGAACCTTCTTCACAGTCCCATGGAGGCACGCAGTGAGCCAGTGGTACTTCTTTCTGACAACGTTTGAGAACATTTGGATAACCATTTCGGGATTATAAGCAGTCAGAAGTCAGCAATAGCCCAACCTCGAGTGCTGATGCATGGAAACCTAAAGGTTTCGATGGGTCTCTGGGAATTGTTATTCAACTGGTAAGCGTCCTTATCCCAAGTGTTCAATAGTACGATTCTTACGAGTAATGATCTACATTTGTCCTTACTCTTTGTAAATCATTTCCAAACAATCATAAAACAACTAAACGGAACGTTTAACTGATAGTAGGATACGCTTGAAAGCCGGCCACTTGTAGAGCTATATTGATGGCAATGGGACACAAAGCTAGCATACAAACTGAGAACATGACAAAGTTACAACGGGTACGGTTAACAATGGAAATTGCATAGCTCTGCAAGAGGACATTCGGGAATGGAAGGTGACATAGTGTTAGTTCACCCATTCAGAGCGACGGTTTTTACCGTGTATTACCATCATGGGGCGCAGGAACGATTAATTGCGTATGAATTGATTTATGGTACTAGCAGCTTTGTGCCGTCTCTACACGATCGCTGCTACTTCAACCTCCTGGGTCCGAAAGGAAAACCCAGTCCCCCTTCTCCTGGACTGGCTCCCCCATTTCCTCTCCACCGCATAACCAGTCTTCATTTATCGGCCCCCTCCTATTCTCACAACTCACTTATATGATAGGAAGAACACCGACCACATGTCTAGC